AAGACCTGCATTGGGCTCCACACTGGGCATAGAGCCTACTTAAAAAAAAAATAAGAACTTGCAAAATCATTGATTCTTAGTTAACAGTGTTATCCAGTATCTAATCAGTGTTCAGTATGCCATTAGAATCACTTCACCCACTTATGGAAATATGCAGCTGGGAAAAGTTCCTAGCTTAAGGAATTACAGGTGGGACGTTTTGATTTATTGGACAATAGTACCCACTTACCCAGGCCCACTGTTCACTATGTTGTATGAATTCTTTTTTTTTTTTTTTTAAGATTTTATTTATTTGAGAGAGAGAGAATGAGAGACAGAGAGCATGAGAAGGAGGAGGGTCAGAGGGAGAAGCAGACTCCCCGCCGAGCAGGGAGCCCGATGCGGGACTCGATCCCGGGACTCCAGGATCATGACCTGAGCCGAAGGCAGTCGCTTAACCAACTGAGCCACCCAGGCGCCCCTATGTTGTATGAATTCTGAATATTTTTTTTCTTTAAAGATTTTTTTATTATTTTATTGGAGAGAGAGTGTGAGCGGGAGAGCATAAGTGGCGGGGGGGTGGGGGGGCGGGCAGCAGAGGGAGAGGGAGAAGCAGGCTCCCCGCTGAGCAGGAAGCCCAACTTGGGGCTCGATCCCAGGACCCTGGGATCATGACCTGAGCCGAAGGCAACTGCTGAACAGAATGAGCCACCCATGGGCGCCTGGGTGGCTCAGTTGGTTAAGCGACTGCCTTCGGCTCAGGTCATGATCCTGGAGTCCCGGGATCGAGTCCCTGGAACGAGTCCCGCATCGGGCTCCCTGCTCGGCGGGGAGTCTGCTTCTCCCTCTGACCCTCCCCCCTCTCATGTGCTCTCTCTCTCTCATTCTCTCTGTCTCAAATAAATAAATAAATAAATCTTAAAAAAAAAAAAGAATGAGCCACCCAGGCGCCCCAAATTCTGAATTTTTTTTTTTTTTTTTAAGATTTTATTTACTTGAGACAGAGAGAATGAGAGACAGAGAGCATGAGAGGGAGGAGGGTCAGAGGGAGAAGCAGACTCCCCGCCGAGCAGGGACCCCGATGCGGGACTCGATCCCGGGACTCCAGGATCATGACCTGAGCCGAAGGCAGTCGCTTAACCAACTGAGCCACCCAGGCGCCCAAATTCTGAATATTTTTAATTGTCCTTTGGCCTAACTTGATTGAATTTTGACAAAGGCTTTTTGTCGCCATTCTTCCATCAAAACAGCAGCGCTGGGGACAGCGCACGGAGCCTGGAACCAGACAAGTTTTGAGTTCAAAGCCTGACTCTGGCCTTTAGTAGCTGTGTACTTGGCAGAGATAATCTCCCATTCTCAGGGTCCTGGTCTGTAAAATGGAGTGGCGGGCCCCACCCTCATGGGCAAATGAGGGTCTTCTAGCAAGTGCTGAATTTCAGCTTGGCATCTGTTAAGCATTCCTCAAATGTTAGGCCCTTCCCTAATTGACCTGTTTTCCTTCCCAGTCTAAGCCAGTGACACTTCTCTGAAAAGGTGAAAAAGACGAGAACTTCCTTCCCAGGGAGAACTCCCGACCACATCCCTTTCCGGGTATCCAGCTCCTGTGCTTCCTGAAATTCTTGGTTTGCTACTTAACTCCTTCTGCTGTTGCATGGGTGCTCTCTCCCTCTGTTCTCTCCTGAAATCTCCCCAGGGCTTGAGAAAAATGGTCACTTGGTCTCTGTGGCCTTCATGCCGCCGCCCCCCCCCCCCCCCCCCCACCGCTTCCGCCAGCATTAGAGAGATAGGTCTCCTGTGGTTGCTCTGTATTGGGAGCTGCCTCAGGGCTTGGTAAACTGCCCTTCAGGTCAGGGCATGCAAAGAGGTCAGAAGCCACTGGGCGTTGGCACCCAGGAAAGAATTAGGTTGGTGAAACCATTGCTTTCATTGCCAGGGGCTATCACGCAACAGGTTTATCCGCTCCTGAGGGTGCAGAGGTGGTGGCTCATGAACCTCTAGGCATTCTCTTGCTTTTTCTGAACGAGGGATGTTGGGGTTTAGGCACTCCAGGCTCTGCTCAGAGTAGAGTGCCCTGTTCTAGGGCAAAGGTACTATACTGCTCAACCCTAGTGGAAGCTGATGCACTGGAGTGTGGAGTGGGGCCCTGGGCCAGACCATAACCCTTTAGTTGTCAAGGGAGGCAGGGGAGTGGGACTGTAGGCACTGGTATTTCCCCACTGTTTCCGCAGCAGTGATGTCTAAATATTGTTAACGACGGTGTTACTGTCCCACGGTGAGAGCGCTCATTGCCAGCCCTTCTTCCGTCTCCTCCATGCTCGTCTGGATGCCTGTAGGCTCCTGAGGACCCACTCCCAAGTCAGGCGCCCTCATTCACACAGCTTATCTCTTGAAGTCCTCCCAAAAGCTCTGTCAGTTTCCACAGGAAGAAACAAGGTATGAGCCAAGGAGTACCCCCATCAAATGCCGTAGCTTCTCTCTGGACCCCCAAGCCCTCAGCATACCAACCCGGTCCAGCTTGCACCTGGCCTTCCATAGTTTGTGGGGCGGATGAGTTCAGCGGGGGTCCTGGGAAGGGTACAGTTCCCAACATCGCCCCATGTGCTTTGGGCCTGAAAGAACTTGGGTAGCACCATAAGTAATAGAAACCAGGCCAAGGGCTTAAAAGACTAAAGGATCTTCCGGGGCTTCTGTTGTGTGTTTGTCAGGGTTGGGGGCTTGGGGAAAGGAGGTTTGGAGGCCTGAAGGGGTTCCCAGGATTGGGTGTGCATGTCCTAGAGGGGTGGGTGAGTCTCTGCCTCTTGAGGGTGGGAGAGGGCTGGGAGGAGGTCTTTTCTTTCATTGGTTGTGTGGCCCTGCCCTCCTCCCCCTCCTTCTCCTGGAACATTCCAGACATTCCAGACTGCCATTGCTTTCAGGATATGGATTAAAACCCCAAACTGAGATTTGATTTCCTTACCCCATCCCCTCCCCAACTTTTCTCTACCCTGAAAAGAAAGCCCCTAAATCTGGGAGTTTGAAGTAGTAGTAGGAGGAGGGTATTTTTGATCTTCGATCTGAGAGTACACTAAGGGACAATCTTGAAAGAACTGTCTTCACACTGAGCCTCCTGCCTGGGGGTTGCTTTAAGCCTTTACTGGTTTGAATTCCCAGGCAGGCAGCCCCTAGAGGGAGTGACTCCTGTCATGGGGCATCAAGCTAGGTCAGTGTCCTCAGTCTTCCAATGGTGTAACCATCTGTTCCTCAGTTCTCCAACAGTTGGACTTTGATTGTGACGGTTCCTGCATTTTCTCAGCCTGTTTGGGCACAAAATGAGTGTTATATGGGACATCCCTCACTAGGCTAGATGCCATGGGGCCCCCTCTTTTGCCTATGAATGGAATCAAAGAGAGTGGCCTGGTGTGGGATCTGACGACTGGACTTGTTTCTTATCCTTGCTCTCTTGTCCTGCAGTGTAGCCTGACGACTTTAGATCAGGTTCATGAACCACCCAAGGTAGAGAGCCATACATGTAGATTCCCTGCAACACGTATCCTCCTTTTCCCTGAAGTCATTTTGTCCCAGGAAGAGGTTTCCTTTGTGTATTTCATCAGTAAAGACTTTCCCTGCTCAGAGCTGCACAATTAGAAGGGATCTTAGAGACCCTCCAGTTTCCATTTTGCAGCTGTAAGACACTTAAGGTCACAGGGATGGAATGAGTGAGCTGGCCTAGGACAGAGCCAAGAGGGAAACATTTATGGTGCGAGCTTAGCATCCCTTCCTCATGTGTTTTCAACACCCCCCTCCCCTAGCAAGCTAGGAGCTGACAAGGGCCCAGTAGGAACACTGAGGCCTGAAGCTTACATGGCTTAGTCAGATGAAGACTCAAATCAGGGGTAGTTCAAGAGCTAGAACTGGATTTTCTTGCTTCCCAGGCCAGTTTTCCCTCATGCTGTTAGAATTTCATTGGACCATGTCCCTGAACTAAGTTTGTGATCAAGGATATGCTGAGACATAAATGACAATTGACCAATGAAGATCAAGTCAATTGAAATGTTGTAAGCCCAGGGATTAGGGCATCGATTTGGGTAGTGAGCAGTTAATTGCCCTGGGAATCAACCTTGAACCTGAAAGCCTTCCTGGGGAAAATTACACTTTTAAGAGGTATTTGAAAGAGGGGAAGGAGAAAGAGAAAGAAGTCATTTGGAAGGAGGGAAGGTGGTGGTCCTGATGCTGTGTTGTGTGTTAATCGTTTCCACCTTAGTATTCCAAATGCGTCTGTTACTACACTTTAAGTACTTGAAACCCTTTGCTAAGCCCTAATATTATCTAACATCACCTGAAACCACCCTGTGAATAGGTATTGTCCCTGTTTTACAAAGAAAGGAAAGTGAGCCTCAAAGAAGTGAAATAATTTTAAGACCAGTGCTGTTAAGTGGAACAGAGATTTAAATCCATACCTGTATAAAAAACACTTAATTACCGCACTATTATCCTCCTGTCATTTGTTTGCATGTGTGTCTCTCCCAGTAAATTGTGAGCACCTTGAGGCCAGGTACTTTGTCTCTTTTGTTTGTCACCGTGTCCCCAGTATCTAGAACAAAGTATAGCCTGAAGTAGGCAACAGTTAAATGGGTATTGGATTAATGAATGAAGTCTCTGTAGCAGCTTTATATTCCTAATGCCTGAAACATGGTGGGAGGTAAGAGGTGAGAATAGGTGGTTAGTGAAGGAAAGAGCAGGGCGAGACCGGAGCACAGGGACAAAAAAAGCAGGTGTGATTTGGGGGGAATTATGTTACCCTGGTGCTTCGGGCCTCTGATCACAGTCTTCCTATCTTGTCGTAGCACTGATAATTTACACTCTGAAGTGAGGCACCCTTCCACCAAATCTTCATTCCCAAAGGTTATCGTTCTTGGATTCTCAGACTTTGGTGTTGAACAGAAGGTAGGGAGATACAGACTGACATAGGGATTAAACACTGCCAGGTCATAGGCCCCTAAAGCATCCAGAGTGGTCATTAATCCTGTTCCCTCTAATTTCAGGAGTCGGAAAATTCAGATTCGAAACATCCCACCCCAGCTCCGTTGGGAAGTAAGTGATTGGGGGAAACTCAAGACATGGGGAAGTGGAGACTGGAAAGGAAGCCCGGGCCAATCTGAGTTGGCAGACATGACTGGGGAGGTCCCCTGGTGGTTTGGGGGTCGGCCAGGGATGCTAGTACTGAGGGAGTTGGTTGGTTCTCATCCTCGGCCCAGGACTACCCATGTTAGTCCTTTGGGCTTGTCCCTGTGATGAGAGGCATTAGGAAGGTGGGTAGGGTGTTCCCTGAGCCCCAGACTTAGACCCCGGAGGCCCAAGTCTACTTCCAAAAAGGCCCTTGGAAGCCTTTTTGTTGTGCTCAAGTACATTTCTTCAAAGATACCCTGACAGGTTACCAGCAGTTATCGGTACCCTAGAGGGAGTAAGCTAAAACAGGTCATACTGCTCAGTCCCCACCTAAGGCTCTGCCTGTGCCACCATCCTTTGGGGTGAGGGTGGCTGGTGGCTGGCTTCGTGACAGTTCCTGGGATGCTCAGAATAGCCTTCCTCTCTTCTCTCGTCCATGCTCCTAGGTGCTGGACAGCCTGCTTGCTCAGTACGGTACAGTGGAGAACTGCGAGCAAGGTAAGGGTACAGTGGGGAAGTGGGGGGTGGGTGCTGGAGCAGTTTGGGGGATCTACTCTGCTTCGTTTTCCACGACCACATCCACCTGGCATAGCAAAAGCAGACAAGGCAGGCAGGCAGAATATGGCACGAAGGGAGATCCACACATGGGGGACGTGGGCATGTCGTCCCGGCTTTGGCTGTGCTGCTTCTCTCTGGAACAGGTTTCTCTCTTTAATGAGCAAAAGTCACTCATTTCCAGCATGGGGTCCCAAGCTCTTAGGGGTCAGTCACGGTCGAAAGAGAGGTCTGAAGGGTTTAGCAGCATGGAAATGGGGCACTCGGCCTGAGTAAGTCTGCAGCCCCTTTACTTTAAAAGCTTCATGGTTCTTTATGTTTGGCTGGAATAGTCAACTGGTTATCTCTTTATAGAAGCTCTGATTGTCAGCTATATGGCTTTGGTCAATTAAAAAAAACCAGATTTTATTACTGGGCACATAGTGATGGGCAGGCACAGTCTTTCAAGAGTGGGCCCACAGGAGAAATACTAAGAAATCTGGGTCATAAAATATTTGCTAAGATTTCTGAGGTTTCTCCATTGCTTCAGGTTATAAATAATTTCCAGAGGAAATGAGCTAAAATAAGAATGGTTTTGGTTGACACAAGGTAGAGCTTGTCCATTCGAGAAGATAGAAGTGGAGTTTGTAGATCTTCAGAAGCGTAAAGAATCACCCCATCGAGATTTAAATGCTTATCTCCATTTTCTTTGGAAAGGTGCAAGCTAGAAATCACTCTAGATTAAAATACTTGCCTGCACATAGGTAAAGTGCTGAATCTATCAAACAAGTTCTCCAGCTCTAATCCTGTAGGTTGCCTTTTTATCATAAATGCCAGGACACAGCTGGACACACTGATAACCATTGCCTAGTACTGCTCACGCGTTAGATTAATGACTGAGTTACTCTTGGACAAATAGCAAGAATGAGTGCGGGCTTGGGAGCAATTGTGAGCCGCCCTGGGAGGCCCCGCAGGAGTCCACGATAGCTCAAATCTGTCTGGGGCTCACCCAGGAGCTGTAACACACCATATCAGGAGGGGAGACCCGTTCCCTGGAGAGAACACAATGGGAAATGTTTGATTTTGTTGGACAACAGAGAAAGTCTTCTGGTGTCACTTTCTAAGTGAAGTCCTTTCTGTCCAGTCTTTAAAATCGCACCCCTTCCCACCACCTCCTTTAACCCTGATTTACATTTCTCCATGGCCATCATCAACCCATCTGATAGGTTAGAGAATTTGCTTATTGTACTTCACGTTGTCTGCTCCAGTAAGCTCCGGGAAGGCAGAGCCTTCGTTGGTTTCATTCATTCCTGTGTTTCAGTTTAACTGGAAAGATAGTTCTTGGCGGAATCTCCCTTACTCACCACTGGTGGGGGAGCTCTGCGGATGAAGGCAAGAGGGGTTTAGAGTGGTCTGCGCTGAGGGTCTGTGGCCAGGTGACTTATCCTCAGGATGATGAGGGCAGAGGCTTGGTTTTTGTCACTGTCCTCCACCCCAGGGCTGAGCCGGCCTAGGGAACCCCAAATCAAAAGACAGACACAAGACACGTTAATTTTATTAATTCAAGAAGTGTGCCTCCAGACCGCCTGGAATTCTATTGTCCAGCCCAGTCTCTCCCTGTAGGAAAGAGTATATGGCAAAATCCAGTGAAGACCAAGAGGTTTCATGGTAAGAACGGAGGACTTGGATGGGAATAATGGCAGGTGCCATGGATTTATGATGGATTGAATGTGCATTTCCACTGCCAAGATGTTTGGAAGACTGAGTCAGGAAATCGCCATCCCTCGGTTCCCCAGTAGCTGCTCCTCTCAGCCCATTTAGCTTGGGTTATGATACACTCACGTGTGGTCCATCTGTCCTTGAGGATGCTCTGCAGTGGAAGTGGGTCTCTTCACCGTATTCTTAGAGACCATGTCTTGGGATGTTTGCTTCTATAAATTGCTAATCTTACGGTGTGTGCATTTTTAACTAGTTTAGCTTCCCAAGAATGAATTTGTCTCCCAGACCTGGTTTGTGCGCTCCCTGCCGCCTAACTGCTATGCTGACTTCAGCACCCTTTTGTCGCCCAGCTCTCGGGGGGGTGGGGGGGTGGCCAGGGGAGATCAAAAGAAGACACAGGAGGGAAAATGCAAAAAGGTTAATTTGAATTTTCTAGGAGTTCTGGAGAGAGGGGCCTAAAGGGCACATAGTTTGCCTTGTCATTCATGTATTCCTTCTTACAACACATGTAACTTCTTATAACCTGAAAGGATGAGCTTTTTTTTTTTTTTTTTTAAGATTTTATTCATTTATTTGAGACCGAGAGAATGAGAGACAGAGAACATGAGAGGGAGGAGGGTCAGAGGAAGAAGCAGACTCCCTGCCGAGCAGGGAGCCCGATGCGGGACTCGATCCCGGGACTCCAGGATCATGACCTGAGCCGAAGGCAGTCGCTTAACCAACTGAGCCACCCAGGCGCCCGAAAGGATGAGCTTTTAACACTTGGGAGTTCATTGGCGGCATCTTCCAGATCTTGCTGCTCTAACCTTGGCCTCTGTTTTGCTCCCCCAGTGAACACCGAGAGTGAGACTGCGGTGGTGAATGTCACCTATTCCAACCGGGAACAGACCAGGCAGTAAGTGGGCCGGAAAGCGGGGCGGGGCGGGTCTTCGCGGGTTGTTGGGAGCCAAGTACGCGTGCTTCTCCACGCTGGAGTCCAGGCAGGCAGGAGCGCCTTCTGTTACTGTGATAGCCAGTCGCAGACTCTTTTTGGTTCAGGTTCAGGTTCAGTATCTCAAGGGTTCAGAAACTTATCAAGATTGGTAGCAAATCCATGGACGGGAAGGGACCCAAAGACCCTCCCAGGAAAGGTGGGGAATCCTCTGTAGGAGAAAAAGTGGGCTTTGCGTTGGGTCTCCGGGTGCCCGGCACTGCAAGGGTCCTTTGCTGTGTTGACGGCGCCATCTAGTGATAGTAGGGAGGAACTGCGAGGTTTACAAAAGGGATTTGTTCACACGTTCTGATGTGGCGGGGGCAGACATTTTATTTCGGTGATGCCACGAGCCCCGATTGTGCTTCTGTCGGGTCCTGTTAGTCCCATCACACCTATGCTTTCTAGCTCCTTAAGCCCTTTGGTTGAGCAACTACACGCCTCACCCACTGGTACTGACAGACTTTGTACACTTTGTGCATTTACTCACTTACATCCCACCCGTTACAGGCTTTTTGCCACATTTAGCTTTTGACAGCTTTCTTGTTCCTTCAGCATGCTGCCTCTAGCTGGGTGATGATACATTTTAAAGATTTATTTATTCATTCGAGACACAGAGATAGAGTATGAGCAGAGGGAGAGGCAGAGGGAGAGGGAGAAGCAGGCTTCCCGTTGAGCAGGGAGCCCAATGCGGGGCTCAGTCCCAGAATTCTGGGATCATGACCTGAGCCGAAGGCAGACGCTTAACCATCTGAGCCACCCAGGCGCCCCTTAAAAGTTTATTTTTAACTTCTCTCTACACCCGACGTGGTGCTCGAACTCAGGATCCCGAGGTCAAGAGTTAGCACACTCTACTGACCGAGCCCGCCAGGAGCCCTGCCCCCATTTTCTTTTAAGTGGCTCTCTGGGCTCAGGATTTTCTGGAGGTCCCAACTGCCCCTTGTGGCTAGCGTGTGGTCCTTAGCCTGGCTCTAAAGGTCATGTCAATACTCGGCTTACTCCCCACTGCCTGTTGCTGCCTTGTTAACATTTCTAACCTGCATCAGCCGGTGTGGAACTGGATGGAGCTTGCCTCCTCCCCTCCCACAGTGTTACTCACTCCTGCTTTGCAGACATTCCAGATAGACTTAAACTCCTGCTTCCAAGCTGTAAGCAAGACATTCCGTCTCCAACCCTATTTTTTTTTTTTACAGTTTCCTCAAACATGGAAGGTGCCAGACTCAACAGGTGTAAAAACAAGTCTCTTGTTTCATGTGTTTATTATATTTATTCACTTACCATGAATCACATGTGATTCTCACATTAATCTTACGAGATGCGTAGTTCTGGCTGGAATTAATAAGCCAATTCAAAATTCACTGGGAATAACTTAATTTAGGTTTCCCTTTGATGTCTTCAGCCGTTTAGACTGGCAAGTTCTCTGAGGTGGAGGTGGGAGTGGTGGGTAGGTGGTCATCTCCCTTGTTTTCGGTGTGTTCCAAGTTGTAACCCAGCGTGCTTTGCACACGGAACGCCTTTGGTGTGATTGGCATGGTGTGACCAGTAGCCTCTCCCTCTGTCCTCAGAGCCATCATGAAGCTGAATGGCCACCAGCTGGAGAACCACGCCTTAAAAGTCTCCTACATTCCTGACGAGCAGATAGCACAGGGTGCTGAGAATGGGCGCCGAGGAGGCTTTGGCTCTCGGGGTCAGCCCCGCCAGGGCTCCCCTGTAGCAGCGGGGGCCCCAGCCAAGCAGCAGCAAGTGGATATCCCCCTGCGGCTCCTGGTGCCAACCCAGTACGTGGGTGCCATCATTGGCAAGGAGGGGGCCACCATCCGAAACATCACGAAACAGACCCAGTCCAAGTGAGTCTTGGCTGCTGGGCACTGGGAGCCGGGGTACCGCCTGGTAGCGCACCGGGGAGTCTCAGTATTTACGTTTCAGGAAATGTTGCTTGGGATGTGTTCCCATTTCTCTTCATTGGGGGATGGGGGGTGGTTACTCCTCCAATTGCAGCGTCCTGGGAAGGTGGGGAGGTTGAATGGGCCTGGTGCATGCCAGTTGGTGGTAGTGGCTGGGCCACACCGTTATTAGTAGGAATGGTTCTAGAATTTCTCGTAGGACGTGCCACCAAGCAAACCCAGTCTAGGTGAGTCAGTCACTCTGGTGCACTGTGGGTTCAGCACTGCCTGTTGGTGGCCACTGGGCTGGGCAGCTTGGCCAAAGCCAGCCCTCAGTAATAGGTCATCATCCTGCCCCATCTCCGATTCCCCTACTGTTACCCCTCTAACCTCTTTTTAAAATTTTGACTTTATTTTTTTTAAAGATTTTATTTATTTATCTGACAGAGACACAGCAAGAGAGGGAACACAAGCAGGGGGAGTGGGAGAGGGAGAAGCAGGCTTCCCACGGAACAGGGAGCCTGATGCGGGGCTCGATTCCAGGACCCTGGGATCATGACCTGAGCCGAAGGCAGACGCCTAACGACTGAGCCACCCAGGCGCCCCTGACTTTATTTTTTTTATTTGTGTATAGTGACCCCTCTTCTCTAATCTTTATAGCTAATCAGGGTACTCTGGAAAAGAACAGGTCACATCATGTCCTTACTCCGAATGCATCCTTTATTATTTACTTTTAATTTGGGACAGTGTGCCTTCCCTTTATAGTTTTACGGGAGAGAATCCAGCATTTAAGGGGAATGCAGCTTTAGAGCTGTGGGCTACTGATTGCCAGCCCTGTGTTCCCATGCCAGATGCCACCATCGTCCGTTCCCCCGTTCCCCCCCACCTCCTGACTGGGACAGAATCCAGAGCAGCAGGCTGGCCTGGGTTCCTCTGGCCTTTTCTCTGCCCTTTCCTGTTCTGCACTGGGACTTGTTCCAAGAGCCGTTTCTGTACTTTTGGTTGAGGAGAGGTGGTAAGGAGGGTGAAGAAGACTCTGGGTTTCACCAGGGACCCCTAACCATCCTTGACCTTGTGGTCCTTAGGATAGATGTGCACAGGAAGGAGAATGCAGGCGCTGCGGAGAAGGCCATCAGCGTCCACTCGACCCCTGAGGGCTGCTCATCTGCGTGTAAGATGATCTTGGAGATTATGCATAAGGAAGCAAAGGACACCAAAACGTAAGGCTTTTTTTCAACATTTCTCATAATGAGGGGAGTACCACCTCCCCCGCTCCAACACACTTTATTCGCAAGAATGCAGGGATAAATAGGAGACAAAGGACATAAACTGAGACACGAGGTCCTCTTTTCCACAAGTAACACCCTGTATACTCTCTTAGCAGTTCTTTTTTTTTTTTAAAGATTTTATTTATTTATTTGAGAGAGAGAGACTGAGAGAGTGCATGAGAGGGGGGAGGGTCGGGAGGGTCAGAGGGAGAAGCAGACTCCCTGCCGAGCAGGGAGCCTGATGCGGGACTCGATCCAGGGACTCCAGGATCATGATCTGAGCCGAAGGTAGTCGCTTAACCAACTGAGCCACCCAGGCACCCCCCCCTTTTTTTTTTTAAAGATTTATTTATTTGACAGAGAGAGACACAGCGAGAGAGGGAACACAAGCAGGGGGAGTGGGAGAGGGAGAAGCAGGCTTCCCTCTGAGCAGGGAGCCCGACGCGGGGCTTGATCTCAGGACCCTGGGATCATGACCTGAGCCGAAGGCAGACGCTTAACGACTGAGCCACCCAGGCGCCCCTCTCTTAGCAATTCTGTGCACTTACAAGCGTGTGTATGCGTTTGTCCATATACGTTTGTGCGCACAGGTGTGCATGTGCATGTTTTAGCGCAAATAGGACTGTAATGAACGTGTTCTGTAGTTAGTTTTTTTCACATTTATGGATCAGTAATTACTGACCCATCTCAGTTCTTTCTAAAACTTCATGGAGTTCTATAGTGTGGCTATTTAAAAGTATACAATTGAATGAGCATTAACATGCGTATACCTGCAAAACCATCACCACGATTACGATAATGAGCATGGCCATCACTCTGGTAGTCCTTGTGCCCCTTGGCGGCCCCTCCCTACTTCCCCATTTCTCTAGTGCTAAGCAACCACCAATCTGTTGATTTTTGTCATCTTTTAAAATGTAGTTTTGTCCCGGAAACCCCACGTCTGCGGTGGCGTGCTGACTGTGTCTCTGCGTGCCCCAGCATTTAACAGCTCCTGTCCCTCTCTCTTTCCCAAGGGCCGACGAGGTTCCCCTGAAGATCCTGGCCCATAATAACTTTGTGGGGCGTCTCATTGGCAAGGAAGGGCGTAACCTGAAGAAGGTGGAGCAGGACACAGAGACAAAGATCACCATCTCCTCGTAAGGCTCTCATTTACCTCTTTATGGGTGGGATGCCCGTGGGCTCAGGGATGGCAGCATATCATTGGGCCTTCATGCTTGGCCCCATAAGTTGGATGCAGTTTCTGTTCTGTTGAAGAATAATCAGTGACATGGCAAAGAGCGTTTATCTCTGTGAGGTCTGGGGTTGCTGGAGCGCATCCTTTCGTCCTCTGGCCTGCCCATCACTCCTATCCCCTGCGTCTCAGAGAGCCTGCAGCTAGGGTGGGGTCTCAGGCATGTTTGCTGGTCCGTGAGAAGCAGACCGACCCAGGTCCTGGTCTGAGGATTGGGTGTATGCTCCCCTGTGTCGGGGCCTGTCTCCCCCGGAAGAACCAGAGCCAAGCAGATCGATTACCTCTTCTGTGAGCACTGTGCGTCTTCATTGCATCCCAGACTCGCTCTGTTCCAAAAGCACAGGAAGTGGGTTGCGTAGAACCACTGGAGAAACTTCCAGTCCTGAGCATCCTCATTGCTTTACCGGTGATGAAAACCTGTCTATGACTGGACTCATTGCAAATCGAGGGGTTTCAGTTGGGTGTTCTCCTCTCCCTGTACCTTGCTCCCTCCCTGCCTGGGTTACAGACTGAAGGCCAGAGACGGGGAGCTATTTGCTGAAAGTGAAACAGCCTGCAGGAGCTGTTTCTGCGGCTGATTCCCAGCCATGGCCCCTTCCTGTTGGGAGGATGACGCGGCTCTGCTCTCCCGCCAGGCTGCAGGACCTCACCCTCTATAACCCCGAAAGGACCATCACTGTGAAGGGGGCCATTGAGAACTGCTGCAGGGCCGAGCAGGAGATCATGAAGAAAGTCCGGGAGGCCTACGAGAACGATGTGGCTGCCATGAGTGTGAGTGCCAGAGGGCCAGTCACCCTAATGCTCTGAGCCTGGGGCACTGCAGATGGGGGTCTCCACCTGGGGTGGGCAGGCCACACGCCTTTGGATCTCCAATCCTCCAGATCTTTTACGTTTAATGAATAGAGATTCTTTATCTGATTGCTGAGGTGGGGGTTGGGTTTCATCTTCGGTTTCAAAGTCTGTGGTCTTCCTGTAAGATTGGTGTTTGTGTGTTCTTCAGTGAGGAGAGGGGCCATAATTTTCATCTGATTTGTTTTTTTAAGATTTTATTTACTTATTTCAGAGATAGCACGAGAGCCAGGGTGAGCCGGGGGTGGGGGAGGAGCAGAGGGAGAGAGAGAAGGACAAGCAGACTCTGCATTGAGTGCAGAGCCCAATGCGGGGCTCGATCCCACAACCCCGAGATCATGACCTGAGCCGAAATCAAGAGTCGGACACTTAACCGTCTGAGCCACCTAGGTGCCCCTCATCTGATTTTTAAAAGGGAGTGAGGATGTGGAGTACAGGAAAAAAGGTGAGCCTTGGAGTCTAACGGAGATCTGTTGTTGCTGTGCCTTCTCATAGGAATGTTCCAGGGCAGGGTTAGTGGAGTAAACCACCAGAGAGATGGGACATCTGAGGCTCTGGTTGACCCTTCTGGTTGGTGTTGCTGGTTCTTGGTCCAGCGATAATGTCCCATCACTCAAAGCTCCACGCTCTAAGTGTATGTGCGTGTGTGTGAGAACCGGAAGGGCAGGCAGGTTTTGTGCAAAAGCACCCAGTTCTCCTGTGTTCACTCCCCCCCACCTCTCCCACCCCTCCCACCCCACCCCAGCACTGCCTTCTGGATTCAGCCAGCCCTGCATCATGAGCTGACCTCTCCCTCCTTACCTTCCTTCCCCAGCTGCAGTCACACCTCATCCCCGGCCTGAATTTGGCGGCTGTAGGTCTGTTTCCAGCCTCGTCCAGTGCGGTCCCGCCACCTCCCAGCAGCGTCACCGGGGCTGCTCCCTATAGCTCCTTTATGGTAGGTGCAAGATCTTCTTGGGGGGGGGGTACTGGGCCCTTCCATGGCCTCCCTTAGGGTCCAGCCCCCTGCGGGAGCCTGATGCTTAGGAATTTGCAGAGAGCGGGAAGGGAGGGCTGGGATGCCCCTCTTGGGCAGTACTCCCAGCCGTGTGCACAGCATCTCAGATGCCACCTGGGCTGCCGGCAGCCCTCTCCCTTTGTCCTTGGGGGCCTGGGGAGAGCCAAGGAGCGGGTTGCCCACGTTGGCCGCCGGGTGTCTGCCTTCTTCTCTTTGAGGCTGCACGCCCTGGGGGGTGGAAGGGCTTCCAGGCTGCGTCCCTCACCCCTGGTCGTAACATGCTCTGTCTCGGCAGCAGGCTCCGGAGCAGGAGATGGTGCAGGTGTTCATCCCGGCGCAGGCAGTGGGTGCTATCATCGGGAAGAAGGGACAGCACATCAAACAGCTCTCCCGCTTTGCCAGTGCCTCCATTAAGGTGACCTGCTCTGTCTCCTTCCAGGTCCTGGGAAGAGGGCAGCGCCCTGCTTCCACCCCCTCAACCTTTCTTCCCGCTGTTGTGTGGTCTGTTTCTCTGATGGATTGTCGTCCCCTTTGCATATGACTTTGCCCAGGGCCTTCGGTGCTCCTGGGCTTCCGGGCGAGGGAGGAGGTTTGCTTAGGTTCTGGCCTAGACTGACGTGGGTTCAGCCTGCAGCCCCTAAGCTAAGGCCATCAGCCTCAACCACTGTTCCCTTGTCACTGCGATCATTGTCCTAGTGCCGTGAAATTTCACAGCCGGCGCCCCACTCGGCCAGTGCCCAGCGCTGGGGGGTGGGATGGGGGGGGTTGCGGTAGATGCCGACTGTGTTTTCGCCCCCCCCTTGGCTGGGGTCCAGCGCAGAGAGAAGGGAGAGTGTCCTCGTGAAAGTTTCACAAGCTTAAATCCAGTTGTGTCGGTGGCCCCTAAAGGACCTGGTCAGATGCAGGGATTCTTTTCTGCTGAAGTGTGGTCCCTGCCCTCCTCACCGCAGGCATTTTGTCTGTTCCCCACTCTGGGCAGGACCCCACGGAAGCCTCCCCGGGAAGCTGGGAGGGTGGACGGTGAGGAGGGAATGTCCCTGGAACACACGCACCCACGTCTACATCACATTTTTGGTGCAAGGGCAATGCCCTTGGGGTTCAGGGCCTTTGTTCTCACCTCTCCTAGCCCTCGGAAGTAGGTGGTGGGAGTGGGATGGTGGGCTTGGAGGAGGTGAAGGTAGGGGGCACCTCTTTGACCAGCTCTTTGCTTTCTAGATTGCTCCTCCTGAAACTCCTGACTCCAAAGTTCGTATGGTCATCATCACTGGACCCCCAGAGGCCCAATTTAAGGTTCTCATCTTTGTTTTTCCAAAGAAAAGGAATTGAGGTTGGGTGGGAGTGCAAATCTGCATAACACTTTCTTAAAAAAGTTTTTATCTATTTATTTAAGTAATCTCTACATCCAATGTGGGGCTTGAACCCATGACCCCAAGAGCAAGAGTCTCATGCTCTTCTTCTTCTTTTTTTTTTTTTAGATTTTATTTATTTATTTGAGAGAGAGAGAGCACATGAGAGGGGGGAGGGTCAGAGGGAGAAGCAGACTCCCTGCCGAGCAGGGAGCCCGATGTGGGACTCGATCCGGGGACTGCCAGGATCATGACCTGAGCCGAAGGCAGTCGCTTAACCAACTGAGCCACCCAGGCGCCCCTCATGCTCTTCTGACTGAGCCAGCTGGGTGCCCGTGGACAGCATTGCAGTGCTTTCAATTTGGCATCAAACTCAACTTCTGTTGACTTCTTCCCTCTTTCCTTCTGAAGGTGAACAGAAATACGGGATAGAAGGAAGGCTGAGGGCTTCTTTCTGGTGCCCTGCCTTAGTTAGGAAGGAAGATCTTTGATGCCCAGTTCCCTTCTCTTCTTCATGTCCTACTGCATTGCTGGGTCCCTGAACTTCTGGTCACAGAGCCAGAGAGCTAACAGTTAGCTCCTGCTGACCTAGGCAGGGATGGAGAAGGGGATGCTCTCGAGGCTGTGTGGGCTGTCCAACATCCTATCCTCTGGCTCACTTGATCAGCTGCCTTATTCACCTAAATGGGATCATCCCAGACTCTGTAGGGTTGTGTAGCTTATGAATTGTACTTCTGGGAAGTATGTGTTCAGTTACTCTACCCAGGCTCTCCAGTATTACAAGTAAGCAGAAGGAACAGGTCAGTGCTCTTGGCCATTTTCCTATCCCCTGGTGTAGATGGTTGATGCACCCGTGGGCTGGGCCTGTGGGGCCAGAGAGGATGGGGTGGGGCTTGGGGGCTCTATTTCCACGTGTACCTCACTTCCCTTTTGTCATGTGTGTGGCCCGCTGATTAACAAGGACCCCCTCCTCTCAGGCTCAGGGAAGAATTTATGGAAAACTCAAGGAGGAGAACTTCTTTGGTCCCAAGGAGGAAGTAAAGCTGGAGACCCACATCCGGGTGCCGGCGTCAGCTGCTGGCAGGGTCATCGGCAAAGGCGGCAAAACGGTGAGCCTTCAGACCAGGGATGAACCTTCCGGATCTTAGTCCTCAAACCCCATAGCTCTGCCCTGGCCTCCTACTCCCCTACCCCGTACAGTAAGACTTCCGACTTGCTCCTTTACCCAATTCTCCTCCCCAGCCCGGCTCCCGGGTCCTCCAGTTACCTGCCGGGGACTCGCCTCTTGCCCCTCCCTCCAGCCCCCGCCATGCTTTCTTGGTAGCCCCCCAAACTCCTCTCTGCCCCCCGCCCCCCCCCAGGTGAATGAGTTGCAGAATTTGACAGCAGCCGAGGTGGTGGTGCCAAGAGACCAGACCCCGGATGAGAATGACCAGGTCATCGTCAAGATCATCGGGCATTTTTATGCCAGCCAGGTACATGTGGCACGCCCCGCCCCCCCCGCCCCCCCGCCCCGCCCCGCCCCCTCGTGGGAAGACAGCAGGAGCCCAGGGATTAGAGAAGCAAGAGGCCAGATGTTGATTTGCATAGCTTTGACCATGGCTTTGACCAGTCCCGTGGACTTCTGCCTGCCTCTGGACTGGGCCATTCTTTTCCAAGTGTAGGAGTGTGATGTGTAGATGTTGTATGCTCTGTTCGAACTGTAGGGAAAGTGGGTGCCTGGGTGGCTCAGTTGATTGAGTGACTGCCTTCGGCTCAGGTCATGATGCTGGAGTCCCTGGATCGAGTCCCGCATCGGGCTCCCTGCTCGGCAGGGAGTCTGCTTCTCCCTCTGACCCTCCCCCCTCTCATGTGCTCTCTCTCATTCTCTCTCTCTCAAATAAATAAAATCTTTAAAAAAAAAAAAACTGTAGGGAAAGTGATTTGAGAAGTTCTGTATATAGTATATATTCTATATAGTGACTAGTATTTTTCTGTGTTACTTGCTATATGTTAAGACTTTCCTGTTGTCTGACTTTAGTCCTTCGCTCACCCCTTTTGCACCAGATAAGGAAGGAAATTGGTATTACCCACCACCCAGTCTTGTTTGTGGAATAATAACAGTGGTAACAACATTCTGGATTGCCTTTTTCCAGTGCAGTCCCTTTGCCTTTCTCACGACTACTCCATCCTTGGTTCCAGTTCTACTGTCCCATCCAGAACTCACCAGCCCCATATCACCTCCAGGGGCCCAGTCGGCACTGCCTGGCATTGGGACTGACCCCAGAGTCTGGAAAGAGGGTGGATATCAGGTTCAAATCTTAAATTTGAATCTTAAAACTCAGAGAAAGGTTGATTGAAAGGTAGTGGGGTTTCCCTAAAATCCTCTGGCGTTGGGATTGGAAGGGATATGGAGACTCCTGGACACAAGCCCTTCTGTTCAGAGGATAGGCAGTTCCAAAGCTAGATGCTGCCTAAGCGGTCAAGGGCAATACAGGATCCTGGAACCCCGAACCCCAGCTCTCGGCTCCCAGTGTGGTGTGGCCAGACAGCACCAGGAACGGGTTTTGGAGGCAGAGGGCTTTGCGCTCAGACCCCACATGGCTTTTCTGCTGTATGGCCTTGGCTAAGAAACTTTCTGTGACAGTCCTTGGAGAGAGGTATCAACAAGAGTCACGATAGTATCTAAGATTTCTGGGTGCATCTGGTATACCAAGCAGTATTGTGTGGTTCACGTATATTAGCTCATTTAATCCTCGTGACAATCTCATTGTACAAATGAGGGGTGTGGTAGTGTGAAGGATAGGTCCAAGGATGCACAGAGCCAGGATGTTCTCAGTACCGAAGTGTGGGGGTGGTGGTGGTGGTGGTGGTATTTTTCATGTGTTAGAATGAGAATTAGAGGGAAATCTTTGTAAACCATCCGCTTGCGGCTGAGTAGGAAGTAATATAAATCCTGAGTCCACAGCCTTTCCCCCACCTACACCATCTTTCTCTTGAACCAAGAAACCAAGCACTCTGTTAATGGAAGGAAGCGATTCTGGTAAACGGTTAGGGGCACCCCGTGTTGTAGTTGGTTTCCCTTGCAGAACTCTGTCCTTAGCGAAGAAAGGAAAGAGTAAAGAGACGATCCTTGGGTATTTTGTCCATTTTTTACGGTGGAGCTTAGGTTTCACTGCTTGTTTGTAAATCCGTGTCTGGACGTTCCATCCCCTTTATTGGGAGCTCTGATTTGTGAGGAGGTCTCCTACCTGATGACCCTCTGACCAAACATACACCTGGAAACTCCAGGGGTTTTATTTTGGGTTCAGTAGCCTGTGTGGCGAGTTTGTCAATTTTTCAATTCTGGTGAATGAGTTTGTACTCTGTCCGCTCCCCCCCTCCCCACCGCGGTGGGGGCTGCTCAGGACCCACGGGGAGGCAGACAAACTTTAGGTCCCACTCACTCACTCTCTTTCTGTTGTGTTTGTTGCCGGTGTCTAGGTCCCGATGGCTTCTCTCCCCTGGGGTCTGGCTCTCTCCTTGCCTTTGGGGATCTTCACTCTTGCCTCTTCTCTGGTTCTCCCACAGATGGCCCAGAGGAAAATACGAGACATCCTGGCCCAAGTTAAACAGCTGCACCAAAAGGGACAGAGTAACCAGGCCCAGGCACGGAGGAAGTGACCAGCCCCTCCCCATCACGTCGACTCAAGGACAACGGGCTGAAATCGAGAGCGCGTTCTCCCCAGCAGGCCTGAGAATGAGTGGGAATCAGGGACACTTGGGCCGGGATGTAGATCAGGTTTGCCCACTTGCTTGAGAAAAGACGTTCCAGTGAGGAACCCTGATCCCTCGGCCCCACACGCCCAACCAATTGGCCCGACACTGCCCACCCCTCAGGGTGTCACCATGGAAATTTCTAGCTCAGGGTGCTTTTAAACGTGGATTGTTTAAGTAAGTTCTCCAGGTCCCACCGAGAGGGTGGGTCAGACCCCAGTGGGAAGAGAAATAAAATTTCCTTCAGGTTTTTCAATCATGCAGAGGGGTGTTTTAATCAGCCTCAAAGGATGGTTTGCTTCTTGACCCTAAAATCCTTCCAGCCTTCTCCTGCTTGGTCCGTTGATTAAAATACCTCTACTCTCGTGCCCTGACATAGCCTCTTCCTATATTCACACGAATTGTTTTATCTGTACTGCTACCAGAAAAAGTGGGAACCAGTGCATTGCTTTGCTTATGTTATTGATTCAAAGGAGCAGACACACCAGCATCTATAGTTTATTATCCCACTCCTTCCCTAACCAACCAATAGGAACAGCAAGGAATAAAGAATGGGGGAAAAATATGATTAAAATATATAGTAATCCACGTTTAAAAGGAGTGCCCTTATGGCTGATCTAGTCCAGATCACCATCTTGAAAAATTGGCGCAATTAAAATTTTCTCCGCTCTGTCGGGACTTCCCCACCAAGATTCCCTGCCCCATTCGCGTCCTTCTACCCATCTAGGTGCACATGGGTGGTACTGAATGCTCAGCGGGATAGGGGCTGACCACTGTACTGTCCCTGATTCCCATCATTCTCAGGCAGATTTTATATTTTTTTAAAGTCTATTTTAATGATTGGATATGAGCACTGGGAAGGGGACATGACTCCCCTTGATAAAGTCTCAGTTCCATGGAGGACTTGAGTGGCCCCAAAGGCTGCCACTGTGCCCTCACTCCAGCCCATGTGCTCCTATAAGGGCTGGTTCCCAGAGGCAGGGGTTGCGGGGCACTCCCCCCCCACGGCACTGTTCCCTTGGTGGTGGTGGGATGTGGAACCCAACCCTGAGCTCCCGGTAAAGCTGAAGCCCGTCATCTGGCATGTATTACGAATATTCAGTAAATTGGAGAGTATTTGCTTCTGTTTTTATCCTCGAGGCATATTTAACCGATGGCTTCTGCCTCCGTCAATCATTGGCATGACCAAAGTTGTGCCTGAAAACAAAATTCAAAATACCAGCAGCATTATGCACAAAAGGGGTAAATAACCTTAATTTATTAATTTACTAGGCTCAATAAGATCCCGTTGGAAGTTCAGCCCTTATGGAAGACGGCAGCCATCAGTTAAATGAGGTTAGGCCTCCCCTCCGAATACACTGATTGTCAATGCATATTAGCCAGGTGGTGCACTTTAGCTACCTTGGACAATGCTATCAAGTGTGCTGGGAAGGGAGGAAGGCCTCTCTGCATGTGGAAAAGCCCATGCGTGGAGTCCCCTCCTTCCAACACTGCCACAACGACAGTAGTAATAACGAGACAACCATGACACGTGGGCGGAGTCAGTCAGGTAATGCTGTGCGCGAAGTAAACTACCTCAAGGTATGAAGTTACCTCAGCAATTACTTTCCTTTTTGTTCCCCCCACCTTTTTTTTTTAACCTTTTTTTTTTCTTTGCGGCTTGCTGATATTTTATATAAAAAAAGAAAAGAAAAGCAAAAGAGAAGCTGATAGTCTTGAATATTTTATTTTTTTAATGAAAAGAAAAAAAACGAGAAAGTTATGTTTCATAATTTCTTACAACATGAGCCAGTGTAAGCCTTTAGGATCTCTCTATGGAGAACAGGCCCTGTGGGCAAGGCAGGAGGGGCTGGCTCTTTGGGAGGAGACTGGGGCTGCGCAGGCCCAAGGTTGAGAGAGCCCGGGGGAGGCCCTGATCTCTGACTCCCGGATTCCTACGCCACTGGGGCCTCTCTCTTGATCTCCTGCCTGTTGGGATTCAGAGACCTAGCAGAGCTGTAGGCCTCCAGGGGCAAACAACAGTCCCCAGCAACCGGCCCCTGGCATCCGCCCCCTCTCTCCCTTTTTGGTTAAAGGGCATCCCAGCCAGTTTTCCCCACCAGTGGTGCTGTTGAGATATTTTAAAATATTGCCTCCGTTTTATCGAGGAGTGAAATAATAACTAAAAAATATACCCATTAAAAAAAAAAACCCTCTATTTCTCTGTTTAGAAATATGGGAGCCAGATTCCGTTGGTGGAAGAGACAAAGCTGCTCTCTCACCCTCAGAGAGGTCCGCCTGGTTTGTCATTGCAATCTTTTTCCTTCTTCTTCTTCTTCTTCTTCTTTTTTTTTTTTTTTGTTATTTTCATTTCAGTCCCATCTTGCTATTCTTTTTTGGTCTATATCAACAGACCAAGGAGCAGACAGACACTCGGATGCCTGCTCCCCTGTCTCCTCTATCTTCTTTAGATTGATCTGATTGATTTTAACAGTGGACCCAAACTAAAGGAATTCCTAATTTAGGGTGGTGGGTGGCCAGGAGGGGTAGGAGTTATGGGAATGTGATTGGGGACAGGTTCCTGCCTCGCTCATGTCTTATCCCTTTGTCCCCATGACATTCCTTTTTAACCTCCAGAACGGTCTACCCCAAAGAGAGGAGGATGCAGGAGAGCGTTTAGGGGTAATATCAGGCCAATCTAATTTGAGCTTCCCACCTGTCCTAACCCACAAAAAAAGGGGGGGTCTCCCAACTTCCATCTCTGGCTCTCTATGCTTTATCCCAAAATGAAGCAGATAACGTTCAGACATCGGCCATTTGGTGATTTAAGGTGAATTTCCAACAGCAAGCATGCTTTAATATCTGGTTCAGATTACCAGCAGGAAAAAAACAAAAACCACCCACAGTACCTGAAATGTGATTGTTGCAGTGTTCAGTTTCCTTGGGATCCTGCTCCCTTCACACCTTAAGCCCACGTCCTTTTCCTTTGGCTGGTTCAGCTCCCAGAAGAGATCAGGAAGTGTGGCGAGGGACTATCCAATATGAGTTGAATTAGCACGGCTCCACTCATTGCTGACATTTGCCCAGCAGGAAGGTTGTGAAAGTTACCCTACCAGAAGCAGAAGGAATATGGTTTGGTGGTTAAAGTTTAGGGGAGATAAGGACCTGTCTTGGTGGGCCCACCTTTGACCCTGAGGCTAGGCTAGGTCTTGGGCCAGTTCCTTGTCCTCCCACACATCACCTCCATTTCCCCATCCTTGGTGAGAGAAGTCAACGTGAAAAGCACTTGGGAGATTTGGAGGATCTGAGAAAAGCGACTTTTAAAAAACCACTTCTTATACTCGAAGATTATATATATGTGTGTGTGTGTGTGAGCGCTACATATAAATTTTTAAGAAAGGACCATCTCTTTAGGATCTATTTTTTAATTCTGTGGAACACACAAAAAACCAAAATGGTTTGATTTACTAACTTAGAAGTTGCATCTGACAGTTACACCCCGATGGCTTTAATCCCCTCTAGGGTCTGGTTGCCTTTTGCAGTTTGGACTGTGGACTCAACTCCTCGGAGGGGTCTGGGTAGGAGAGAGCTGAGTGGAGGGACAGGGAATTTTATCCCCTGCTGCTCTCTCCCCCCCCTCCCAGTCCCTTGTCAGTCTTTATTCCTTTTCTCATGAGCTCTCCACTTCCAGGGGGGTGGTTGGGAGCTATGAGGTACGCCTCACTACTGCAGCAAAGACCCCGTGTAAAACCCAGAGAACACTGGGGGGGGGGGGGGACACTCCAGGTGGCTCTGTGTCCGTTTTCCTCTGTGCCAAAGACAGACAGACAGAGGCTGAGAGAGGCCGCTTCTGAATCAAAGCAGTAGCCATCTTTCGACATAGACTTGGGCTCTCTGAGAGGGGCTCCTGGAGACAGTGTGAGCTAAAGACGCGTCCTTTCCCTTCTGAGGCTCCTGGGGGACGTGGGGGCGGGACTTGCCAAGGGGTAGGGAGCTGAGAAAGGGGTCCGTTGGCTCCTGGTTGCACTTTGGGGAAGGGGGGAAAGTTTGGGGCCCCTCCACGTTGGACTGCTCTCCGTCCCCTGCCCCCACTGCAGAGATAGCACGGCGAGTTCCCTTCAGGCCTGGCAGACTGGCAGCGAGGAGGGGCCTCAGTTAGCTCTCAAGGGTGCCTTCCCCTCCTCCCACCCCAGACATACCCTCTGCCAAACTGGGAACCAGCAGTGTTTCGTAACTACCTCACAGAGCCCCAGAGGGACCGCCCGAGCTTCCAGTTCGTGAAGAAGCTGGCACCTCTAGTCAATCCTTTCCTCCCACCTCCCATCCAGGGGTGGCGGGAGATCCTAGTGGCTTTGGCATTCAAACCATGCAACTGTTTGGCCTGTTTGTTGAAAACCGGTAGAAGGAAGACAGCACAGCCTAACATAAAGTAATTGCAGGAAGATGGAAGACAAACCCTCAGTGCCAGGGGGACATAAAGCCATTTCCCTTCCAAACCCTCGATGACTTCGATGCAGAACATTTCTCTTGTATTCAGACTTGGAGTAACACCAGCTGAAAGCTTCGGTTTCTTTCCTTTGGATACAGAAGGCTTCTCTATCGGGGTACAGGGCAGGGAGGAGACCTCGTGACCGAAGGTGGAGGTAGAGGGTGAGGGCCAGATCCCAACCTTGACCCTCGGGCCCATGCACCTCCTTGGGGCACAGCCTGATGATGGCACCCTTTGTAGGGTGCCTTAGTATGGTTGAATCCGGACTGACAAGACATGAAAGAATTTTTTTTTTTTTTTTCTGAAATGAACTAGCAGGAAGCTGCTCGGGAGCACGTGTTTTGAGTAACCACAGGTGATGGATGCTACGAGTAGAAATGGATTAACTACCTCAATCCTTACAATAAGATTGGAACCAAGGGCGGGGACTCGTGCATGAGGGTATGAATCCCAGCCAGGAGAAGTGAGTTGAGGCTTATGCCAGAAAAGGTTTGTTCTTGAGGAACAGGCAGGCCTGCCAGGATCCCCCCACTCCTGTCAATGGGGCTGGGAGGTCTGGCAATTAAGCACCCCCTTTCTGCCTTCCTTGCCCTGGGGTCCAATGTCACCCCTTTCCCTTCAGCCTGCTCCCGCTGCCCCCACTTGCTCTATCTTGTTGGACCAGAGAGGCTGGCTGGGGGTGAAGTCGGGGCTTGGGCCTGGAACCCATCACTCAGCCCTAGCGTCAGGAAGCCTGAGGAAGCCAGAGTTCAGACCTCTTCAGGGTTTCTCTGAGATGCTCTGCCTCCATTGTACCCCCTTCTCTGTCTTCACGGGGACAGTTGGCTCTAGAAGAAGAGGTGGTGCAGGATCCTTTGTCCTGAGAGAGTCCAAGGCCCCGTCCTCTGGTCGCTCAGGCGTGTTTGTAGTCGGGGAGTCCACTGGGCGGTCCCAGCCCCTCCCCACCCTCTAATGGACCTCCTCATAGAAGCCCCATTTCACTTTTGTTTTATCTACCTCTTAGCAAGACAATAGAGATAAATTAGGTAGTGGCAACTCCACTTGCTTAGGTTAGGGGGGGAAAAAGATTTCTTTTTCCAAAGGAAAAAAAAAATATTACCTTAAAAATACTTTCCAAAAAATTTTAAAAAACCAAAAAAAAGAAAAAAATTTAAAAATTAAAAAAAAAAAAGAGGGAGACATTTTCCAGTCACCACTGGATTGTTTTAATTCCCCAAACTTTTCTCTTTTTTTTCCCCCGTAAATAAGTTTCACTCTTTGGCGAGTTTCTCCACTTGTTTAAGATAACGTGCTATTTTAACAGGTACAGCTTTCACAGCGCCCCCCTGGCTTGCGTACCCCCCCACCCTACCCTCCACACCCCATTCCCCCACCGGTGAGTCCTACCTGTGCTCACCCCAAGACCCTCCCAGCCAGGTGATTTCAGCCCCCCCCTCCGCCAAGAATAAAGACTGTGTGTGTTGGGGTGCTTACGTCTCGACTCACCATTTCCCCCTGTGGGGGTTGGGGGGCCGCTTGTAACACTTCTGTGTAAATTTTATGTAACCCACTGCAATGTAAAGCTGTTCAAAATGAATTTCAGCAGATGATGAGTTAGCGTAATGAATAAACATCCTCTACCACCACTTGGATTCTCCCCTTTCTCCAGCAACTTCATCCTGGTCCCGGAAACCAGACTAAGTCAGAGGAGCCCTCTCCCCTGAGGCAAAGTGAATTGGTCTCCAGTCCTGAGACCCCACTCACTCAGGAGAGTGGAAGATGTGTTTTTATGGATGCAAATCCTGGTGGGGGCTGGAGGGGGCCCCTGCATGTGACTGCTCTCCTGGTCTGTAATTGTGGCCACTTTGAAAATTGTACTTGGCTGGCCACGTGCCAGCCATCACCGCCAGATTTTGGTTGTACCCTTTCTCCCGCCCTTTCATCTGTTCTTTGCTCTGTCCGGGGAGGTGGGGCAGCTGTGGCTCAGACTTTGCAAATTTGTTCTTTTGCTGGATGAGCACTCCAGCTTTTCCCGTGAAGTTGTTTCAGCTACAAACCACTTCATTCTGCTGTTTCAATTTCAAAATAAAAGGAAACTTCTATGGAAAGCTGTGTATGTGTGTGCGCGTGCGTGTGCGTATGTGTGTATCTCCGGGGGGGCTTTCAGGGTCTGGTAGCTGAGATGCTCCAACCTTCAGCGGCTGACTTTGGTGTGTGAGCCCTGGTTTCCAGGGACCAGAGTCGCTCAAATACAACCTAGACATTTTTCTTAAATTAGCCGACAGCCGACGGGAGTGGCTTGGAGATGGTGCCTTGCTATTCGCTTCCTTTGCATGCTGGATGGAATAAGGCCTCCAGGGGGAAAAAATGTTGGAAAATCACAATGCAGAGCAGCCACGGCTGGGGAAATGGGGAAGAGGTATTGCCTTTCTTGACACCTGCCCTAAGAAGAACTATGCAAATGGCTTCTTTCTCCTGGGTTTTGATCACCACTGTGGTCCTGCCCTTGCCTGTTTTCCTTTTTTGAATGTCAGGTCGGTGAAGGGAAGGGACAACCTCGTGGGACACAACCTCCTCTCCTAACTTGGCTCTCCTGATTCTTGGTCCGGCCCTTTCCTCTCTGACATGTCTTTCAAAGACGACATGGCGGTCCTGGGCAACACCATGCTTGAAGAAACGTTCTAGGTTAGCTGTTGAGTAAATAGATGGGCCCAGCGCCAGTTATGGTCTTGTGAAATCTCGTGAAAAGGGGACACGTGAAGAATGGCCCGTCCCTCCCACTTAGGTTGTATGTCTGCCCTGGGTCTTGAGCAGATCAGTGAAGCCTTCCCTTCCACCGGAACAGTGGGGGTATTTGCTAAGAATAGTGGCGCCAGGCTCTGCTTTCCTCCTTCCACTCCTTTCCCTCCTCTCTTGCCACATCTTTTCTCTTTTCCCTACTTAACCCAATCTTGTTTGAAATACCTTTAACGTGGATCCGGGTGGGTTTAAAGCCATTAGGCTAGGTTCAGCATTGCTGTTACTTGTGTCTTCCCAAATAATTGGATACATGTTGCGACATGATTTTCCAGTCCTGGTGGAAGCTTTATATAGGAGGTGAATATTTGTTTGTTCCCTGCCTTGTTTCATAAATCATGAAGGTGACTTACACATGGGAATGAAGCCCTGCGGATACTTCACTAATAATGGTCAATGTTTGTTGAGATAAATCGTGTGCTCTTACACACACTGGAGGCATTAAAGGCCTTACATGATGGAATGTTTAACCCTCACTGTTAACAACCCTAAAATGAATGTGACTCCCATTTTATAGATGAAGATGATCTCCGAAGATCAGAGAGGTTATGTTACTAAAGCCACAAAGCGTTTGATTCTAGAATCCGTGCTTTAACACTACAGCTAACCAGTTCCCATCTCTGCAAGAGAAACCTTCACTGGTGCCTATGAAGCAAGATGCAAGCTGTTTCAGCTGATGGTTTGCTAGAACACCCTTATTCTTCTTTTGACCATCCATGTAAGTAATTGACGGTAAATTTGCAAGCGGCTCTTTGTATCTTTACTGGTCGAATCAGAACTGGCTTTGGCCTTGGCTTGTCATGTGTGCATGAGCTTGATGGATTTGGTGCTCAGTCTGGGGCCCATGAAGGCACAGTGCCCTTAATAATACGTGTGCCCCAGGATCTGGTAGCGCAGCCCTCACCTAAATAGTGGGCCAGAGGGCAGGCGTCCTACCTATTTGGGAACTGTGAGGGTCATGGATCAGGTTAGTGTATAGAATTTTCTGGAACCTGATAGCTGATGCCACCTGTTAATAAACATTTGGCGGTCAAGTGGCTAGAGATGGGATTGGTGCCTTCAGGTGTTAAAAGTGAGTTTGAGGGGCATCTGGGTGGCGCAGTCGGTTGGACATCTGATTCTTGATTTAGGCTCAGGTCATGATCTCAGGGTCGTGGGATCGAGCCCCAAGTTGGGCCCACGCTCAGTGTGGAGTCTGCTTGAGATTCTCTCTCTCCCTCTGCCCCTCCCCCTGCTCACACACACACTCTCTCTTTTTAAATAAATAAAATCTTTAAAAAGGAGTTTGAGGCTGAGTTGATGGCCACTTAAAACCAAAAGGCAGTGCAAAGCTGTGCTGATGGGTGCAAGTTGCTCCCTCTCGGTTCAGCTACTGCACAGACCCCCTCCAGTGCCTGTGTTAAAACTCCTTGGTTTGTGTTTCTGTAAAAAAAAAAAAAAAAAAAAAAAAAAAAAAAGCACCTAATAGAGTTTGGGCAAAAAGCTTGCAGGGAAGCCATGGGCAAGGTAGGGGGGTGCTGGTGCTGGTGCTGGAGATAAAGATGAAATAACTTTGTAAGTGAAGGGTCCAGCACATTTATTGTATGAACTGTTGTAATTGGCACTGAAATGTCTCACATGCTTGAATTGCTAAAAAATTCCTCTGGGGTCCACAGTTTTCGGTCTGTGATGATATCCTTTTTTTTTTTTTTTTTTTAAATCTCGGCATAGGAAGGTTTTTATTTTTTCATTATACGTGATATATGTTCCATTTGTGTATAACAAGCGTGCATAATTATGTAATCTTTATTTTTCATCGAGCATTATGTTAATTCCAGATCCATACAGCGGATTGATACTTGTACATACCCAGCAAAGTGATCACCACAATAAGTTGAGTTACCGTTCCTCACCGTAGAGTTGACCTGAGACCCCTTTTCGCCCACCCCCATCCTCCTTCCCTTCTGATAAACACCAATCTATTCTCTGTGTCTCTGAGTTTTGTTTGTTCATTTGCTTCGCTTTTTAGATTCCATATACAAGTGAAATCATATGGTATTTGTCTTTCTCTCTCTGACTTATTTCAGTTAGCATAACATCCTCACGGTCCATCCATGTTGTCACAAAAGTCAAGATCTCATTCCTTTTTTTTTTTTTATGGCAGCATAATATTCCATTGTGTATATAGACTACATCTTTATCCATTCATCCATCAATGATGGAACAGGTAAGTTGCTTCCGTATCTTGGCTATCGTAAATAATGTTGCAACAAACAGAAGGGTGCACAGGTCTTTTCGAGTTAGCATTTTCATTTTCTTTGGGTAAATACCCAGAAGTGGAATTGGAATTGCTTGATCATATGATAGATCTATTTTTAATTTTTTGAGGAAACTTCACATTGTTTTCCATATTGACGGCACCGATTTACATTTCCACCAGCAGTGTGTGCGGGTTCCCTTTTCTCCACATCCTCCCTAACACTTGGTATTTCTTGTCTTTATAATGATGTCTTGTTGTTTGGCAAGTTAAAGATCTCATTCTTAGCGGCCTTGGCTGCCTGCCAACGGGAGAAACTATGACCAATAAGCCCCAGCAAGACTCAGGGCCTGCTTGCCAAGTAGAGTGTCTTGAAACAATGAATTTCTCTGACAGCCAAGGAAAAACTGCTGTTTTTTTACAAACTAAAAAATTCTGTGTTCCTAATTCAAAACTTGTAACTCTTGACAAAGGTTGGCCAAAGCTGGCCCATTTGTCCTGCCGTGAAGGAAGCTGGATTAGTTTCCTATGGCTGTTGTAACAGTTGCCCTGAAGCTGGTGGCTTAAAACAACAGTTCTGAAGCCCAGTGTCAGCAGCTCAGTTCCTTCTGGAGGCCCTTAGACCTAGGCCTCTCTTTCTAGCTTCTGGTGGCCGACAGCAGTCGTTGGCCTGCCTTAGCCTGTAGATAAATCACTCCAATCTCTGCCTCCATCTTCTCTGTGCCTCTTTCTCTGTTTCTCTGTCTCCGGTGAAGACCATCGTTACTGGACCTTCCTCATCCAGGATGATGTAATCTTGAGATCCTTACAGACATCTGCAAAGACCTGATTTCAGATAAGTTCACGTTCTAAGGTCCAGGGTGGGCGTATCTTCTGGGGGATGCCATTCAACCCCTACAGAGGCCATACTATGTGGGGCTTGGTCCACCTGCCCCT